AAATGTCATGTGACACAGAGCCAGCAATTAATAGTCCAATGGTGCTCCAGTGTTCTATTACGCATGTAGACGTGTTCCTGCACACTGGCTGTTCCAAGCGGTTCATGTCTGGAAACTTGCGTGACAAGATTTCCAAAGAGCTGTGTGAAGGCAGGATGGAACCAGCTGTATGGAGGTCCGCCAAGGCAGCAGATCTCATGGATGTTGGAGATCCTGAGCCAAGCCACCTTCCAAATTTGACCACCCTGCGAAAGGCCAAACAAGAGAGGAAAGATTTGGAATCAGGGCACAAAGATCCCATTGCATCTTTACATCTATTTAAATATAGTGCACCAACCTGTTATAGTATCCGAGATATTGGTCTGGACAGGGTTTTTTTGTCACTACTGGAGCCATACTCAGTTGCATGTTTACAAAACATCCAAAAAAATTCCCTCAACTGTGTGCTTTGACGCAACAGGCTCAGTTGTGAAAAAACTGCAAACACCAAATGGCAGATCTGGTCATGTCTTTCTATACCAAGGCGTTCTGACAGCAAAAAATTGCCCCAGTGTCCCAGTAGTGCAAATGTTGTCAGAAAAACATGATATTAATGCCATCGCAAACTGGTTGACAGAATGGATTCGTTCGGGTGCACCTGTACCAAAGGAAGCTGTGAGTGACTTTTCTCTAGCTATTCTTGGTGCTCTGGTCAAGGCTTTTACTCTTCACCCTGATCTGAAGTCCTACATCAACGAATGCTTTCATGTCCTTCTTGGAACTCGGTCTGCTAAACTTCCCCCTTGTTTCATCAGGGTGGATGTTGCACACTGCATCAAGATGATATGCCAGTGGGACTGCCTGAAGAAGAAAACACGCCATGTTAAAGATTTCTTTGTCAGGTCAATTGCAAAACTTCTGCAGTCACAGTGCTTGGACCAAGCAAAACACCTCTTACATGCCATTATGGTTGTGGCCCTCAGTGAAGCAGAAGGTTATGACAGTTCTGGAGCCCCTCTTGCATCAGAAACAAGCAAAAAATATCTGAAAGCCCAAATTGCTGATGACTCCATCATCGTTCCTGAAGAGAAGACGGAAGAAAGTGACAGAGAGGAATCCGTTGATGAGATCCAGACTGACATAAGACAGTGGATAACAGAAATATGTGAGGAAAGCAGGTCACTTGCTTCAGCTGATGGGGACAGGGATAATATTCACTTCCTTCCTGACATTATTCCACATATGGTAAGACTTGCAAGTTACTTGCCACTATGGACAGGAATAATGGTCCCTGCATTTCAAAGCTCCAGCATCACAGCAAGCTCAGCCACTGTTGAAACGGAGTTCAAAAACATAAAACACGGCCTTTTCAAACATGAAAACTTGCCAATCCGAGCTGATCGCTTCATCGCTCATCATGCTAAATTAAAACGTGTAATATCTCAGACACCGTTGCAGCACAAATGTCAGTTTCACCTGCATAAATAAGCACAAAACGAAGCACTAAAAAAGTAGACTATTGTGGTCCATTTTGGAGCAGTTTGGAGTGTGTGTGTGTGGGGGGGGGGGGGGGGGGGTGACCTCTGAATGACCTATAAAATAAAGTTTAGTATCACAAAAACCATAGCAGCACAAACGTCAGTTTCACCTGCACAAATCAGTACAAAGCACTAAAAAAGTAGACTATTGTGGTCCATTTTGGAGCAGTTTGGGAATTTGATGATGTCATCATGCTAAATTAAAACGTGTAATATCTCAGAAACTGTTGCAGCACAAACACCAGTTTTAACTGCACAAATCAGCACAAACGAAGCACTAACCGAGCAGCCTATTTGCCTCCACTTTTGAAGCTGACGGGGGTCAGCTTCACAGAGCTGCAACGCAATCCCAGAAAGTTGAAATATTTTCAACTTTTCATCACTGTCGCTCAGACGAGGACCAATCAACGGAGGTTTCATTCACTGACCAATGAGCGGACAGGATGCTCCATACATCTCCGAGCGAACATGAAGGAGAAGTTGATTATTATTATGTTTTATATAGTAAAATCAGAAGTAAGATTTCACATAACTTTAGCAGCACCTTGTGAAACATCATATCTACCACTTTTTAAACTCTAAACCACTTAAATAACCTTCATTCCCTCCAACGTGACACAGCCAAACAAAACAACGGAAGTTTCAATTTCGCCGTGGAACAGACGGCTTTGCCACTGGCCGCTACTGCAGGTCGCCTCCCGTGTGTCAGGTAATAAAAGCGACAGCGATGAATTTCACTGATCGCGGTCGTTTGTCGCTTCCCGTGTGTCATCAGAGAAGACATCTTCAGCCAAGGCCTCATGCAGAAGCGAGACTCCTGCATCTTCACTCTAAATAAAGTTCATCTTCCTTAAAATTCTTAAGTGATTTTACAATTTATAGGTTGAAATAATCAAATGTGTTGAATAAACAAGACGCTTAAATCCTAAAATGAAGAATCGAGATTCTCCGTACAAGGGTGCGTATTCTCGAGACAAACTGCATCGGATGGTGTTTTATTTAGCTTATAAACCAAGCAGCCAAATAGATTTCACAACCCAGACTCCACAAACTCTCTTAGATGCTTAAAAGAGGTTTTGCTAAAACATCACACTCCATCATGTCATTCATACCTGGTCATGTATAACCATTAGTTTAGGAAAATAGAAATAAATTCATTTTATAAACTATATACTGACTCTGTCTGAATTAATATGAAGTGTGTTTATGGTTCCTGAATAAGTAAAGAAACTAGAATCTTCTGATTAAACATTCAAAGATAAATCAGATTGATATTTCATATTGATATTTATAACATTGGATGATTGTACATTAGTCCATCTCTGGTCTAATGCTGCTATTATAACATTTTATATAATATTTTTGTGTCATTAATACATCCATGCTGTAAATGATTTAAAATCTCTATTAAATCATATTGCTCCAAGTACAGGGTGAGGAGGAGGAGTAGCAACCATTTTTCATTCTGACTTATTAATCAGTCCCTTACAGATTAATAGTTACAGTTCATTTGAACATCTTAATCTTAGTTTTCCTAATCCAGATTGCAAAACTGTAAAACCACTCTTGTTTGTAGTTTTATATCGTCCACCAGGCCCTTTGAGTTTTTGGATCAGATCTCTGATTTTTTATCTGATTTGGTGCTAAATACTGATAAGGTCATTATAGTGGGGGATTTTAACATTCATGTGGACATTGAAAATGATAGTCTCAATGTAGCCTTTAGTAATATCTTAAACTCAGTTGGTTTTACCCAAAGAATACATAGCTCCACCCACTCCTGCCATCATACATTAGACCTTGTGCTGACTTATGGCATAGAGTAACAGGAAATAACGATATTTCCACATAATCCAGTCCTCTCGGATCACTTTCTGATGTGAAATAAAACTACACTTTTAACTCCGGTGTAAAACAGGGGCTCTTACAATAGTTAGCTAGGAAAGCTGATGTTTGTTTGCCTTGAACCATCCATTTTTTATGGGTGATTAGATTAAATGTATTATAGAGAGCATCAGATTAAAGTGCGGCGTGAACGGAGCACCCAGGGGAGGGGGATGGCCCGACTTTTGAACTGAGACCGAGTCATGCTATTGGCTGAGTTTTTTTCGACAAAAGAGAAAGGACCACTTCATTAATATATTTTTTTTATTTCCACATTATATTTATAGCTATAATATGTAAATGGCCTGTATTTGATATAGCATCTTCTAGAGTGCTGGGACCCCCAAGGTGCTTTACAGCACTATCAGTCATTCACCCATTCGCACCCTGGTGGTGATGGGCTACATTGGGCAAGGCAGCTTTATTTGTATAGCACCTTACAACAGCATACAACTGACCAAAGTGCTTCACAGAAATGAAAACATTAAAAACAACACACAACATAAAACTAAAGCTTTTCCAGTCCCGTGGAACTGTCCCTGATGTCCACGCGATAGTTAAGAGCCACGTCAGCCAACACAGCCCCACAACATCCAGAGTTTATATTTTTATTTACAATAAAAAAATTAAGAAGGATGGAAGGTGAAGTGAACACAGGTCATAATTAATGATTTCATGCACCCTGCAGACTGGCGCTGATGGCGTGACTTCACTACAGCAGCGTTTGTTTTCCACGCTGGAACTGATGTTTGTTTCCTGAATTATCCTGATTTTAAGAACAATAAAAGTGTTAGTGATTGTTTATTTTCCATAACCAGTTTTTCATTCTGTTCAGTGATATCATGTTTGTGTTTGTTGCATCAGTTGAGCTCATTTAGATGCATTAGGTGATGAACTGGGATCAGATTGTGTTGATGGAAAGGACTCAGCTGTTTCAGGCATGTGGGCTCGTTCTAGCCTGTCTCTCCATCATGTCTGTTCAGCTCTGAAACATTCTGAATCCCAAGGTCCAGTGGGCTGAATAATCAGACAAGATAGCACCTGCCAGTGAGCACTATTTTTCTGTTTTGTGAGACTAATGCATCTCTCAGAAAAACATATAGTTCATCATTTTGCATTCAGCACAGCCATAATTCATCCGAAGAAACAAACAAACAAACAAAAAAAAAAGAAAAGCAACGACAGCTGACACAGAAATCATCAAACAGAATATTTCTGAATATTAATTCTTTTAAAAATTGCTGTGGTGTTTTGCATAGATTTGTTTGGGCATGTGATGTGTGCAGTGGATGAGTGGATGCTTCTGAAGCAGCAGGTCTAAAGTCCTGCCATTCCACTGATATCCTGACATGGAGAAGTGGAGGACGGCTGCAGCTCGGATCATAACCCACCTTAAACACAAGCAGCAATAAATACCAAAGAAACGTGGCCTGGATAAGAAATGTTCAGCTTCAATCTCATCAGACTTTAATCGTTATCTCTTGCCAACAAATTGACAGTTACAGAAGTAATTTCCAACTGCTGCGTTTTAGTCGTGTTTGGAATTGCTCTGTTTGCTCACCTTGTCTCCTCTCCTCTTTTTCTTTTGACACTGAACAGAAATCTGAGCAACAACAAGATCACTCTTCTGAGAAACAGCTCCTTCTATGGCTTGGCTGCCCTGGAAAAGCTGTGAGTACTTAAATCAAGCACTCTAACTGTTGGTCCTCCCCAGAGCCCTGATAGCTGTCATCACGACAGTAGCATTGTGTTTTATCTGAGAAACGGCAAACAGGGACATGGTGGGAATGAAGGGGTTCTTGTTCATTTCCAACCCAGCAGGAGCTTTTCTCAGGCCTCCTGTGCTAAACTTCAGCAGCTGCATTAACCCTCTGACAAAAGGGATAAAATGCATCATCATCAAAGAAAAGCCTCTCATCAGGGCGATGGGACAGGATGACTAGCGAGCTGCGTCCATATTGAAGAATTGTAAATCATACTCAGTAACCATGAGGGTTGTATTCATGAAGCCTGATTTTGAGCTCCATGACGGCTGCCCTGACTCTTCCCCTTCATTGCGCTCACCTCCACCCAGCCCAGTGAGCACTGATTTCCCATCTGATGGTGGCACTGGCGTTGGATGCTGATGAAGAAATCAGCAGAGAGGCTGACCTCACAGAGCCATACACTTGTGATATTGGTGAGCGGAGAACCTCTCACAACAGTGGTGTTCTGCTGCTGAATACGTGGATGTGTGATGAGTGGAGGACCCAGGGAGGTGGGGCAGTTCAGTGAGACCAACAGTGGGACTGTCCAATGGCTGGTTTTGGTCTGAAACGTGTTATTAGTGGAGGTTTTTAGACAAATATGAGAGAAACACTTTATTAATAAATTTCAGCAGCAGTTGAAGTCCAGCCAGGTAGCCATAGCGAGTTAATCGTTGCAGCTAGATGTTCCCTCATTTGGCCCTACTGACTGGCTGGCTGTCTGGATCTGAGGGTTGTGAATGACAGGCCTAATAAGGCAGATGTATGTGCTAGCACCACCCCTCCTACAGCTGAAGTCGTAATTTAGATCAACAAACACGCTTTAATGCAGCTGTTTGGTAGTTGCCCCTCAAGTGAAGGGTTCTGTGGTCTAAAACAGTTTTAATAATTAGTTCATCTGAAAATTATATGTTTGCAAATTAAGAGGATTTTATTCAATATTTTCATGGTGGTTTCTGTTGAAAAGAGTAACTGATCTGGATCTTCCCTGTTGTAGAGAGCCTCTTGCATGGCCTCTGTTCAGAAAAATAGCTTTTCTATTCTTTAAAGCTACTGGCCAGAGGCACATTTCCTTTGACAATGCTCTAAAACCTCAACTGAAAACATTTCCACGGCTGAATTTTTAAGGAAATCCGATGTTTTTAAAGACCGCAGCAAAAAAATAAGGTGGCTCCTGATCTGAGCGCTACCCAGCTTCTTATACATAATACTAAGAAGCTACTGCAGACAATTAGTTCCTCTGGTTATTCTGTGTTAGCGTTACAGCGGACGACAATGTTTCATCAGTCAGATGTAGTTTCTGAAACCTGCTAGTCGGTCAGCTTTTTTCCTTTGGATGACAACAAGGAGAACGGGTATTGGATTGCTGGTTAGCCACCAACAAGCCGGATACCCGGAGGTGCAGACATGATTGATACTGTTTGACTCCATCTGGACGATGATGGTACGGCAGTGTCGGTAGTTTTTCTGTCTGTTTTTTTTTTTGAATATTTAATTTTTGTGTTCGTAGATGAGCTAACACTGACCCTAGCCCACAGCTGCATTAGGCTGTCCCAGTATAATTCAATAATCTACAGAAACATTAAACGATGTGATGTCAGTTTTACCGCTGTATGAACATATAGATAATGCCAGAAAAGATTAATCAACAGCTTATCAGCTTAACTTCTCCAACTTCTCGCTGAGCTTGTTGTTTTAGCGGTAACCAGGAGGGAACAAAGGTTCTACCGGTCTCGATCTATTGTTGAAATGTGTGGACCATCGATTAGATCCAATCTCTGTGCATGTCAGAGCTTTCCCAAATGAATTATCTTCTCCTCACCAGGAGTAACACAGGTAGCCATGCTGCCACAGTTACACTAATGGGGCACCTAGTTATTGGCACCAGTCCAGGAGGAGCTGTACAGTTCCAAATAGATTTATAGTTAGAATATGTAGATTTTTTTTTTACATCAAACCTCAGCGCACAAAGCCCTGACCAGCACCCATGGTCTGTGCATCAGCTGTGCTCTAAATGATCTGACTGACGCTAGTGATGTCTGTCCAGTTCACTGCGGTCCTCTTCAAAACAATTTCATGATTTTCATGTTACTACGTTAGTCAGAAATGCATGTAGGACTCGGACATATGGTTCAGACATTTTGCTGCCGCTGTAAAAGCACTAATCCGTAATCATGGGGACCACAAAGTTGAACAAACTACAGCTAATCATGGCATAGCACCAGTAGTTGCAGCAGTAGCAGTAGTAGCTAGTAGCAGTAGTAGCACCAGTAGCTAGTAGCAGTAGAGGCAACAGTAGCAGTAGTAGCTAGTAGCAGTAGTAGCTCCAGTAGCTAGTAGCAGTAGTAGCACCGGTAACTAGTAGCAGTAGTGGCAACAGTAGCAGTAGTAGCACCAGTAGCTAGTAGCTGTAGTAGCAATAGTAGCAGTTGTAGGACAAGTAGCTAGTAGCAGTAGTATCAACAGCAGCTAGTAGCAGTAGCAGTAGAAGAAGAAAAATTCTTTTTTATAGCGCCTCTCAAGATAAAAATCACGAGGCGCTTCACAAAAACAAAAAATATAAAAAAAGAATGTATAAAATGGTTAAAATATATATTTAAAATGGTCAAAAAATTGACAATTGTGATTAAACAATGTAAAGAAAGAGAGAGAGAGTGAATAGATAAGAGGTAAATCAGTGGATCCTGAGGAAGGTGGAATAGAGCTCCAGACTAGTGATGTGTCGGTCGCGACGTGAACGACGGGAGCCGGCTCATCATTGGGAGCCGTCCCCTCCCCTCCCCCCGCTTTGGTGAAAGCTACAGGCGATTGGTCAACATGTGTAACTGTGTGTCCAGACTGTCCACACACAGAGCAGTAGGGGCGGGGAAGAAGGAGGATCATACTCAGACACACAGCAGAGCACATGTGGGTGGAGGGAGACGAGAGGGAATGAGGAGGAGGAAAAAGGTGAGCGAGAGAGGAGAGTGCGACAAAGACGGTGAGAAAATGAGCGCCAGCAGTCGGAAAGTGGAGATTTCTTAAAGTGTTCAGTTATTAAATCCATAGAAATGATAAACATTTGATATATTGCTTTTTTTTACATTAGTAAATTATTTTACATATGTTTTGCATATTTTGGTTCTACATGTACTCTACGCAACAGAAAATATGAGGAGCCACTTGGGAGCCGAAAGAGCCGGCTCTTTTTGGTGAGCTGAGCCAAAAGGACCGGCTCTCTAAAAAGAGCCGGAATTCCCATCACTACTCCGGACGTCACTTGACTCTCAGAGTAGACACCATGTTGGCAGGCAGCAAAGGTAAATAAAATGAATGGGATCGGCTTGGATTTTACTCCGTCGGAGTTTACTTCACACTTTAAAACCGAAGAAATCATTTTATATAGTCAGAAATTAAATAGATAAAACATATCAAACCCTTACCATGCCCCTGGGATACTTTTTAAAAACACCAGAAGCTGTCAGAGTGGACCTCTTTCAATTCAATTCAATTAAATTCCATTCAAAGATACTTTATTAATCCCAGAGGGAAATTAGAGTTTCAGTACACACAATTCAGAGATCAGACATACATGGGCAAGACACATGACAAGAATTGGTGACTGTGGTCATTCGCAACCCAACTCGCGCTACCTTAATAGAGATCCAGATTACATAAGGATTGGTTCAGGTGGAGGGGAAAAAAAGGCACTTCAGATTTACCCTCCACCGGGAGGGCGGCTTTGCTCTGCAAAAAAAAAAACCCTCCTCAGCCGCGGTTTGCTGACCCCTGGTATAGCCTATAAAATGACATGTTTTCTCCAGGACCAGAGAGGAGACAAACTCAATACATCTCTTTTATTGTGAGGTAATAATTTCTCTGAGTTTTGCGGTTGCGGGCGGGAGTAGACATGCACACTGCGGGTGCGGGCGGGAGTGTAACACACACGTTGCGGTCACGGGCGGTAATTGTCAGAAATTCACCGGGAGCGGGCAGGAGCGGGATGAAGAAAACAGTCCCGCGCAGGGCTCTACTGCTGCATTTCAGTCAGGTTTCGGCAACCTGCGGCTCTTCCATCCATCTGATGCGGCTCTCTGTGCTTGTAAAATAATGAATGGATATTTAAATAAAATGCTTTATATTTTACTGCATTAATTTAACATCTGTATGCCAATTCTAAATGTAAAGATTGTCTGCGTAAACCTGAACAGTTCCAACCCGGTCTTACTGTCAGACCGGGTTGACTCGTCACGCTTGTGCGTAATCATATCGGCGCTTTCTGAGAATGTCAGATTCTGGGCTTCTCCTCAGACGGCTCCTGGATGCATCGCCACATTGGAAACAGGAACAAGCACTATTCAGCCAAAGTTTCATAATCAGGGAACATTTTCTAAGTGACAAGTCTCTCTGAAAGACAGGGTTTGGAAAACACTCGCTTCAGTCGAAGGAATCTTCCCGCATGCGCTCTGGTTCTGCGATGCGCTCCAAGCCCCTCTCCACATCTTCAGCTCGCTGTGTACCTTATGTAGTACACGCTGACAGTGAGCTGCGCTGAGCAGTGTCCAGCTCAGATGTTCAGATGGGAATCTTTTCTTGAGTGATTTAGTGTTTCAATTTTTTTTATGAATTCGATTAAAAATAAAGGCGCCCGGCCCGTGTCCGAGGTAATTACACAGTCATTGGCCCGAAGGCCCAGGCCGACCCGAGGGCCCAGGGCTTCAGTGCAGGGCTCTAGGCCCAAGGGCACCAGACAAGGGCGGAAATCCCATTTCAATTTTGGGAGGGACAATAAACAGAAAAACTTCAGAGAGTAATTTTTGGGGGGGGACATAAAAAAAAATGCTCTCTACATACAACACTGTATGTCCTTATAAGAGACTGACCTGTGACTCTGTGCCTATGTCTGACAGGCTCTGGCTGCCTGTGCTCAAGTGACTGGACTTTGCC